TTTTTAGAGTTTATAAAGATTATAAGAATTATGAAAATTATGGTAATTATGAAAATTATGAAAATTATAGGAATTTCTAATCATAACAACGCGTCATCTTTAAGATTAATAATTTAGAACCAATTAATTTCTATTTTATTATTAAAATATTTGTAATTCGTTTAATATTAATTATGTATTTAAATATTTCTGTTCTGTACTATAACTCTTTAGATCTTTTCACTATTTAATAAATAAAAAATTAAGCTTTATTAAAATTGAAATTGAAAACTATCTTAATTGATATAATCTATTTACAGCAATTAATAAATTTATCTTATTACTTTTCACGTAAAAAAGTATTCTTACACTATTAGTATTATGCAATACTTGCTTAATAAGATTATTATATCCTTTAACATATAACGTAATTTGAATACCAATAGTGAAAATCCTAAAGGTAAAAGTGTAAGCTCATGCATGGTGATTAGGATAAAGAACTCGATTCAGATAGGTCCTAACTGATGGAAATCTTTTTAATAAGCTTTGTCACCTTGTTTGAAATAGTTTTTCATTCAAAGTATTACAATATTTAAAGAATTTTATAATGAATTCATTATATATATTATCCAATTTTGCTTTTAGATTTTTTGAGAGATTTTGATTAATATAGTAAATACAATATAATGACTTGATGATTTTATATACTTATTTAAGTATATTATTCATTATTGGATCAATATCCATAACAAAAACTAATAGTTTGATTCCTGTAGTTTTTTTGGTACACTGAAGAATTCATTGATAGAAATCAACTATTTCATCAAACATTAATACCTGTATTACTAAATGAAATTTGGTATTATTATCAACAATCAAAAATAAGCTAAGAAATATTTAATGATAATTTGTTTTAGCAGTATTGTTATTGAGAATGATATTGTAATATTCAAGTTAAAGTAACACTTGTTAAGACATTATTCAGAAGTATTAGATAAGATGATTTTTATGATCCAATTTGAATTTAACGATCTATTTCAATTCTTCAAATTATTTTTTAATAAGAAACAAAAGATCTTGAGACTTGATTTTAAAATATTGAATAATATTTGCTATATTCATATCTAAAAAAGTTGTATCTGGATATTTAATCTTTAGTAATTGATATTGTATAGTGATTGATAAATTTTCATTTTTTGTATAAAATTCAATATCATTCCAGTACATCCTTTCCAATTAACCAAAATTTGATATTATATTTACTGATTTTTGGATAAAGTTTATAATTGTGGCCATTAATGAATATTGTAATCATAATACAACTAATATTTCTTGAAAAGTTCAAATTAATATGTCATTCACATCTCTAGTATTTGGATCATTAGTTATTTTTCAGTGAAAATTAATATTAACACTCTTAGGATTATATTTTCTTTTAAACTTGCATCCCAAAGATTGATGTTTTATTATAACATTTTTACATTGTTTGATCCTTTTCTTAATAACAGCAAATTCAAAATATTGATTATAAATTTGAAAAAGATATTAATATCATTTCATTTTTGAAACAAGTAATCAATACTTAACAAGAAAAAATTATATGATATTTTACTTAAAAGATTACTGCAATATAAAATAAAAGTTAAAAAAAATCTATTAAGATATATTTTTGTACTTATTCAAAATCAGTATTATTATTTTTAAAATTTGCTATATTATTAGTCTCACTATTAGCTATGTTATTAGTCACATTATTAATTTCACTATTAGCTATATAATTGATCACATTATTAATAATATTATTTATTTTATTATCAGCTGCATAATTAATCATATTATTGATCACATTATTTATCTCATTATCAATCATGTTATTGACTGCATTATTTATATCACTATTAGTTATATTATTGATTTTGCTATTCATATTGTTTACAAAGAGTATTTTTATCTATTTTTTTAAAAAAAGTGGTATTATATCCACTTGTAAAGATTATCCAATTTGAACAATATTTTGACAGTTATAAATCATAATCTTGAAAATTTTAAAAATTGATTGCATAATTCTTTTGCAACAAATTTATCTTATAACAATAAGAATAAGCTTATCTTAACACAAATAACATATTCAAATTTATATACTAGTTAATATAACACTAATCCACAAACTCAAAATTTAGTACAGATTGCTAATAACCAATATCCAAGAAACTATTGCTTACAATTTTATTGGATTAATAGGTTTGTTGTGTATTTTTTTGTAATTTAGTTTCTTTCATTTTGATCATAATATAATCTAGCTTTTCATTAATAATAGCAACAAAAATGAATTAAATAAACCATATGAAACTTATTTGGTCTGTAATTAACTTAACTAAATTTTCTAAAAGCTAAATATTGCAGAAATTAGTCCAAGTAGATAAAACAATATGATAACCTGGAAATAGGAGATTATTATTTTCCAAAAAAGCCAGCAATGTTATCAAAAATCTGAATTTGTTGCATATTTTTAAATGAAAAAAAGAATTAATTTATTAATGATGATCACCTGGATAATTTATCAAATCATATGATATATAACAAAATAAAATGTAATAGAATGCAACAAGAATATTTATCTATAAATAATAATAATTCTACTAAACCTATTCCAATTTTTTTGAATAATGATTTTGTTTTGATTGAATATAATAAATTATTTTTTTTAGTTTTTTTACATATACCACAAGCTTTAATAATATGTTATATTTATTTCAAAATATTCAATATGTATTATTGAGTGTTCATTAAAAAATATTTCTTTTATTTTAATTGTTTAATAATTTTTAAAGATTGTTCTGAATCTCTTATTATATTAGTATAATATCTAATTTGATAATATAATGTGTTGAATTTTTATTGTTCTTTTATTGTTATGTTTTCTGGTAATTGTAAAGTATTCAAATAGTTAACAAGTTGATTATATTTGAGTAAATCCATTGTATCAGTTGGATTAATCTAAAGTTAAGTGTCCAAGTTGTTTATGAGAAATAATTAATTTAAGTTGGATCTGGATTGAAATATTGAGAAAGTGATGTAATTGTATTGTGCCGCGATAATATTATCGAGACTTGACCTTGAGAATGATAATTCTTAAAATTTATTTGATTTAGTAACGCATTATTATATTTCTTTTGCATTATTGCTCCTATAAATTTTGTCGGACAATTTAATTTGAATATTATCTAACGCCAAAATTTTCTGTAAAATTACCTCTTAAACCTCCTTCTTATTACCATCCATTGATTCTTTACCGTGAATTAGAAACTAAAAATACAGCTTAATCAAATTTTCTGTTATCTCTAATTTTGTTTTAATACCTATGAAAATAATAGAAGGAAAATAATAGAAGCGATAGAGTTAGCATAAATTATTTAGTATTAGAAAAGACAAATACGAAAATTTCACTCAACGAGAAAAATTCTCTTTCCAGGAGAAATGAAAATCCTGCATGTGCAACCACAATAACGATAATAAATATTCGTGCGGTCTTCGAGTCTGCACGCGAAATTACTGGGTATAGATTTCGTGTAATAAAAAATCCTAAGTATTAAGAAGTATTATGAGATAATCTTAGGGAGGAGGATGAGGATGATGAAAAAAAACAATGCCAACAAGTTATACTGACCGGAAACACAAAAACCAACAATAACTAATGTCCATCTTAAGATTTCTGACGGCACAACACATACAACCTTTTTTATCCACAAAATGTAATTAATACCTCTTAAAAAAATAATTCTGCGAAAAAAACAAGGCATACCGAAATGGGGAGCCATACAGTTAATCCATAACCATACAATCCAATAGTATCCAAAAGCGAAGGTTTACAACCAAGATATTTTAGGCCTCCCCAAATTAATAACGGCAAACCAAAAGCGTAGATGTATATTGCCATAGCACCAAATGACAGGATTTCAATATGGTATGTGACTTTCTCTTCGTGCATAATAGCATTAATAGAGGCCGCTATTGTTGAAGTTACAAAGAGAAGAAATACCACTGTGGTAGCGATCCAGAAAGGACCTGTTATATATATAAGAATGTTAATGCATATATTTTTGATATTCTCAAAATAAGGAATTGGCCATTTGAGAAATCTATTAGCAAAAGTTACCATATAAGTCGGGATTGTTGCCAACTACCTCTATAAAATTATCTTTAGGAAATAGGCTTTTTGATGCACGTTCAAGAACCTAAAAAAAATGATTTTTCGATTTTAATTAAAAATAATCCGAAAATCAGAATTCTAAAATAAAAAACTTACCTGAAAAGTATCTACATCAAAAAACTGAGCATAATATTCAACAGACCAAATTGGTGCTTGCCCATTTTGAACTTCAGGTCGGGATTGACTTGGGTCGTAAAATGGATCATTAAATCCACCTTAACATTGAGAAAAAGCTGAAATCAGCGAGAAATGACATTGGCCAATACGAGAATTGAATAAATACCAAGACTTGACGAAGCTTGCTTATCGGCGGTTATTTTACCGCCTACGCCTGAGCCAGAAGAAAAATCTGAAGTGGACAGCGAAAAGAAATAAATTTAAAATGTTTACTGTAGAAATGAAATGAATTAGAACTTGCATGGAAATTACCTTGAAATTCCAAAGTTTGCCTTTCAGCACCCTAGAATTAGATAAAATGGATTAGATTAAACGAGGTTTTCAGTAAGTGAATAAAGAGAAGCTTACATGATCGTCTTCCACTTCAACAACCACATTATAGTCTTTGGCCATTTTGGATTTAATGTTATTTTTGTTCAATAGCGATAGATTATGATTCAACTTTTAGAGTAGGTGACGTGACTTTATACATATCGATGTGTGATTTACAATCAAATTATCTGAAATTGTACTTTAACCTACTTGCCTTAATATTTCTCTCAATTTCATCTACCAAGCTTTTTAACTTTACGAAACCCAATAATCTATTTAGACATGGATCCTAAAGCTAGGCGCGCTGTAAATTTAAGCGTTTTGCGACGTCACGATAAGAACATTGTAGAAATAATAGATGGCTCAAGTCATGCAGTGGTATATAAATTTGACAATCAAACGACTTCTTGGGTATGCTGAAAAAGTCCCCTTATCTGACTTCTTACAATTTGGAAATGTACTTGTGAAATCTCGTCCTATCTTCAACTAATTCTGTCATTCATTTGAAATATAGACAAAAAAAGGAGTAGAGGGTACTCTTTTCGTTTTTAAAAGGTATCATTAGATATTCAATAGCAAATCTGAATTTTCAATCATTTTCAACCGAATTTATTTTATGTTTTTCTTTATTAGATGTATACAACCTGTTTATGGCTTTATCGTGATGAATCGACTTGGCATAGACAATTTTGTCGCACCATTGACCGATAACATGGATATTGAACTTAAAAACACATACATTATGTATAAAACCGATAAAGGTATTTACATAAAAAACTCGGTACAATAAGCTCGGTATAAAGAAGCTCGACTAAATGACTCTCCGTCTGATTAAACAGATGAAATTCATGGTATCTGGATATTCGAAGAGAAAGATCGAGATCGTATAGTAAATCAATTATTACTGTAAGATTACGCTGCACTCTATTGATGTATTTTTCGTTTGATAGTAGATTAACAGATATATAATTTATAATGTAGCTGTTGTAAGGAATCAAAGACAGCAATTCCACCACCACAACTTGTAGAATCCCCTCAAATACCAAATTCAACAACGATAGCAACATCACCGCCTCAATCTTATGGTAGATCAATAGATTTGCTTACATTATTCCAACAAGCCGGAACAAAGCAAACTAATGGAATTCATCCAGAAACTACCAGTAATGGTGTTAATCATAACACAACTAATGGTACAATAACTTTACGACAACCAACACCACCATCAAACCATGTATCCGAAAGAGACATATTAAACGAATTGTTCTTAAAGGCGAATGTAAACGAGTCACGGAAAACAACACCACCTGCAACGGTAAATGCAAGTGTTTAAAATTTTATATCATAATTAATTCTATTATTATAATTCTACTTTTATAATGTAAAACTTTAGAGATATTGACTTAATCTGTTATTTATATACTAGTCGAAGAATCTCTCGTCAACTAATGGGCAACAACAACTGGATGGCAAATTATTATTGGAATTGCTTCGTCAACCTGCTACACACACTCCGACACAACAGTCTAAATCAACAAATAACTCCTCAAATCCATTTCTCCTAACTCCTCCTCAAAAATCTCTTTCGTCATTACCAGTAAACTCATTAAATTATAATACCAACAACTCGAGTACTTCGTTTTTCCAGAAACTTTTAGATAGTCAATCACACACGACAACAACGTCGTCGACTTTGACTACGACGATGTTGCCGCCTAATTTACCAGTTTACACTACAAAAACATCCTCAAATTCATTGAGTGGAGAAGCGCTCGCTTTATCTCGAACACAGGCTCTTAATGTGTCGATTGCCTCTCTACCAAAAATGACAAGAGGACAACAAAACCTCGTAGATGGTATTAGCATCTTGAGCAGGAATGAATTTGAACAGCGTTACATCCGGATGGTTCAGGTATGTATATGTTAATTAATACGCAACAAGCTATTTGACGACAATTGCTTACTATTATTTTCAATTCTAGAATGATCCATCTTTTATGGATACACTCTACGAGAATTATGTGATTAATGTGCAGAATACAAATGGGAGAACTCGATAAAGTATTATGAACTGGATAATATTTCACATTGCTTATGCAAATTTAAATGTCCAATGATTGCGTTTTGTAAATACATTTCCGAACATATAAATATATTTTATTACAAATTGCTTCAAATTGAGTGAGATTTAATAAATGTACAGCAAATTAATCTTAATTATAAATAACTAGGCTATCTAAATAGAATAATGGTTTTCACAATCGAAAATATAATTGATACTTCATTTTGCAATACATGCCGAAAATTGTTTTTTGTTCTTTACTGATGATTTGTTATTAGTTAAGAAACTAATTAGTATGTAACAAAATCAGTAAATCCAGAAGCTTATTCTAAAAGAATGGCTGAATTAATTTTATTGTTGGAAATGCCGCAGAATCTCGCATCTTTGCAATTTATTTATAAATATTAAAAGACAACCGCATTATTGAGGGATGAAATGATTATTAACAGTTGGTCCAACACTCTCTTGCTTATTTTAGTGTTGTATCCAATTATTTGACTTATTTTATTATTGTATCCAATAATTAATGATACACATCTAATCCAGCCTATTGTTGAGAAATATTTAATTTTTATCAAATATTTTTTTATTAAACTGGTAGTTTATTAAACTGGTAGTTTATTAAACTGGTAGAATAATCTGTTTGAAATATATATGGTGAAATTTGTTCACGAATATATCAAACAGCACAGATACTTACTATTCACAATATGGTGTACAAGTATGATAAATAACACAAAAATGATTTTGCAATGAGAATGATGTGCATATAAAAGGCAATAACATCTAGTGTCTAGTTTCTATTTACCAAATATATGTGCAAATAAAAGTGGAAAGTCCAAAGATATTAAGAATTATTAGTACATGGGTATAAATTTAATATTTATCATTATGCTGTATGCAAATCAGGTAAAATTCCAGTTTATTTAGCCAAAGAAAACCTCTCATATAATATATACACACGCAAAATATCTTATTTATTCTTCACGTAACCAAGGATGATTCAATACGTCGTCTATTGTGGGGCGCAAATCAACATCCCGGTTAAGTGTACGTTTCACCAAATCTATTGATCCTAGTAAATAAACATTTATTAGACAATTGCATTAAATTCGATTCTATACCATTATCTCTCACCTTCAGATAATATATAAGGAATTCGAAGATCTCTAGCAATAATTTCATCAATGTTATAGAATGGATTCTCCTTGTAGATTAAAGTGTATAATAGAATCCCAAGAGCCCAGATATCTTGTGGTGGACCATCATATTTTTTACCAGTTAAAACTTCTGGTGCTGCGTAATCTAATGTTCCACAAAAAGTGTCGTACTTTTTGCCTTCTTTTATGTATGCGCTTGACCCAAAATCAATCAATTGTACATTTCCATTTTCATCAAGAATTACATTTTCGTCCTTTATATCTCTATGAACAATTTTGTTGCCATGCAAATGTTGTATTGCACGTGCAACTTGTCTAAATATAGACTTAATTTCTGATTCAGGCATACTACTATTTAATTCAATGTAATCGAATAAATCCATGCCAGCCCCGTGTAAGCCCATTTCAATGTAATAATATTCTTCGTCTTCGAAAAAGTCGACTATCAAAGATGAGAATAAAGTTTAGTAATTAATTTGAGTGAAAAGCAGATAAGTTAATATAATAAAAAAATAATTTACCCATTTGCACAATATTTGGATGGGGAATACGTCTTAATGTATGCAAAATATGAATTTCAACAGGAACAGTACCAAGTACTTTATCACGTGTCCAACAATCGACCAAAATTCTTCCTTTGACTACATATTTTAATACAACTCTTTTCTGGTAAAAAGATGTCAAATTTTCACATGTGTTACTTTAATACTACGAATAATATCATTACAGGCATACAAAATATAATAATACCTGTTCGGGGTCTTGTCGATTATAAGCCAATTTGACTTGTCCATAAGCACCTTGTCCCAAAGTATCAATGATTTCAAAGTCTTCTATTGATTTTTCTAAGGTTATTGCGGAATATAAGTTCGGATCAAATGGTTGAACTTCTTGCTGAGGAGATAGGACTGGAGGCGTAATAACCTGCCGTTCACTATCTCCTTTTGCACCTGTGTTTGGAGGTTTACCACCGGCAGCAAGAAATTTAGATATAGGGAAATTTTCCTCCTCTTCCTCCACGACAGCTTTAGATTGAATTTGATTTTGTTCAGGAATTGCATTTGTCGCGCAATTAACACTTCGATCATATGTTATCCACAATGCATGTAATGGCTCATCCGGCGATTCCACCACACGCATTTGAATGTCTACATCGAATTTAGTGCCATCTCTGTGCACGGCAGTTATTCCCGATGGTCCTTGTACACTCATAGTGGCATTCGAGAAATCTTTAACATGACTCGAAGGTTTCGGTGAGGGTGGAGAGGAAAGCATCGAGGCTGCGTGACGGAAAGTATTTTCTGAAATCACAATCCCTTCGACAAGAGCATGCTCTGATGCCAGTACGTCAACAAGTCGAGGAAACTGTGGTAACAAAGAATTAATATTTCGTTTGCCTATCAACTCCTGACTCCCCACGCCGAATAGATATTTCACAAAGTCAGTGTTGCATGATTGAATAACACCAGTTCCATGGGCAGTTATTACTCCAGCGATCGTCGGAATTGATATAATTTTCAAGACATACACGAGATGAGAAGAATCATCATCGACTCCTTTTAATTTACTCTTTAGCGATACTTTTCCGATGATAGGAAATCTGCCACCATTTTTTGAATAACTTCCATAGAATTTGGTTCGATTTATTTGTTCAATATCCAATTTATCTTTTAATAAATCTTCATTTTCTGCTTCACTCATAATTTGGTCACCGTCTACTTCTTTGGATGGGATAACTGGCAATTCTGGGAGCAAGGTGATCACGTGCATACCAATGAGTTCATTTAATGTATATCCATACAAATCTTTTACGTCACCTAATGCCTCGAGTATTGTTCCCTAAAAACAAAAATGATTCAGGTTATCATGTTCGCGTTCATTTAATTTTAATCGAGAACTTTGTAATGTAAATCCTTCTTTACATATTCATCAATTTCTGCCGTCATTGTTGACTCGATAATTTCTTCAAAAATCCAAATAAAAATAGAATTTCCAGCATCATCATATTTTCCTTTTAACCATAAAGATGCAGCCGAAGTTTCATCACTCTTTTTTTGTATCGGCAGCTAAATTTTGTTTAACAAACGCGATTTGATTATTATCAATTTAAATATGATGTAAGCAGAGTAGTATTATTTAATTAAAAATACATACCACTTTCCCGCATGCCAACACAACTTCACCATTGCTTTCCCCATTTTGTGGTCTTGCAGCGAGAGCACGTTGTTGTTTCTCTCGAAATGGACTAGCAATTAAATCCAATGCTTTGATACTACACAATTCTGTTCTTGCATATCCGAATATTAAACAGGCAATGTCATTTGCATTCAATATCTTGCCTTCATTATCTGTTGTAATAATCGCTTGATTCTGAGGCACAAATCTTGTGGGAGAATGCAAAGATGCAGCTGCGTACAGAGAAGGTACATCGGTCAATGTCCTTTTCTTTTTTGGTTTTTGAGTGACAGTTCCATCTTTCGATGATTCTGTTGGTAATATAATGTCTGATGAAACTGAAGGTGCATGGAAGAATGCCTGCTGAACAGGAATTTTCCAACCCTTTATTTTACTCTTCATGAAATCGATCGATCTTTTTAGAATGTTTTGACGAGTCTCGAGCATAGTAGCATCGTTTGTAACGAAACTGTAACTATGCAATGATTCGGTCGAGAATCGAGAAAGTTCGAGATGATGGAAAATTCTTGATGCTGCTTGAGAAGTTTTATCAGATCGCTTAAGATCTGATTTCATTATATGTCTCTCTTCTCGTATTCTTGCAAGTCCGTTTGGTAGAACAGTTTCATTGTTGAGAACGTCTTTTTCGGAGTCACTAAAGATTAAGAGAACAAATATTTTCGAGATTAGTACTTATTGTAAAAAACAGCATTATATTTCGATGCAAAAGTCAAAGCATGCTTTACGTTTTATTTTACGTGTCTTTATCGCTATCTCAAAATTTATATAATAATGTTGAATATTTTCAAATTTAGAGCTTTTTAATGTAATAAACTAGACTTACTTCACGTATTCATTCATGTTAGCTTGGTATCTTAAGTGTTTTTCGGTCTGAAACGGGGATTCTTTAATGATAACAATAGGTCAATTTACGAGTCTAAACAGATGGCATGAAAGTATATGTTGAATGAGACTAGATCTATTTATACCAGAGACTTCTGTCATAGTCATTCGATAGAATAAATACTTTTACACTTTAGTTTCTTTACCCGTTTACTTGGAAATTACTCCGATATTTTTTAAACTGTTGAATTTTGAAAAAAATATATAGAACAGATCCAAATTTGTTTGGATTGTTAGCTATGCATTGATTGAAATAAATAAGATTTACATTTGACAGACATACAAAATAAGAAGTGATAATAAATAATGATGCTTTTCCGAACTTCTAAATATGCAATCGAACCCCCTATTGGGAACCAAAGAAATTCTGTTACTATATATCGATATCGATATCGATATGTAATTGAAAATGAAGTTTTTATGAATAAAACCAAAATCTTTTTTTGGAAAATCTAATCTTGTTATGAATTTATGAGTAAAAATCTAATCTTCTAGAATTGATTGAGCACATGTCCAAATTGTCAACTGTGTCGATTTTTATGTTATCATATGGTACAATCGGTTGATTGATTGAGGCGCAAATCAATCAAACAATTCGAGTTTACAGCAAAGGTTTTTTTATTTTTAATGTAACTTTGTAATTTATAATATAAATTAGTAATTACCTATTTTTATCGTTATAAACAATTATTTTTTTTGAGAATGAACTTTTTGTTTGTATTACAGTTACCAAAAATGATATTACTAAATATAGAATGATGAAATTTTAGAAAAATAAAAATTTGATTAGAATATATTTTGTATTACAATGTGATTTATGAAATATTTGATTAGTTAAATCTATTTTTGGTGATATTTCTAATTCAAAAATTCAAATTATACTTATATACAATGGCAATCCAAAGAAATGCAACAACGTCAAAATTTATTAATAAAATATGAAATTTTCTTTTGATATAATTTTATTTTTTATTTTTATGCAAAAACAAATCAATAACGAATAATCATGACCAAATTGATATACAAATAATAATTCATATTGTAACATATATTTTTTTCAGACTTTATAGATTTAATCTGAGAAAGTTTTTCTAATTTCAAAGTTGCTTAATTTTTTATAATTAAAACATGTAAAAAATTAATCAACCTGCTTTGCAATTAGAAAAATTTTCTCAGGTTAAACCTAAAAAGTCTGAATTATTATTTGTATATCAATTTAGTTATGATTATTCGTTATTAACTTGTTTTTGCATAAAAATAAAAAATTAAATTAAAAACTTTTATATCAAAAGAAAATTTCATATTTTATTAATAAATTTTGACGTTGTTGCAATTTCTTTGGATTGTTATTGTATTTGAAATCATAGTAATTTTTAAAATGTTAAATAAAAATTTATTTAATATTTCAATTCTTAATACGATAAAATTTAAAAATAATAAAAGCAAAATTACAATATAATCTATCTAATTCAATATTAAAATTCAAGATATTTTTAATATGAAATTATATATTAAAATTTTAAAATAATTATAATAAATAAATAATAAGTTATATAGTTAAAATCACTGAAGTTCATTTTGATTAATATTAAAAATAAATAAATATATTTGTAGCAACTGTTATTTGTTAGCAATCGCATTTTAATTGGCTAAGTAGAATTTGGATTAGGTTTAAGGTTCTGGATATATGATTGGTTAATATTGAAGTTGGATTCATAGCAAGTATATTGTGCAAATGCCAGAAAGTGTTCATTTATGAAACAATTGCATATATCTTTACTAATATTAATTCTAATCGATGAATAATCGTTAAGTGTATGGTTTTTTATAAGTATAGACAATACATTCAGATCCTGTATGACGATCTCTTTTTATTACAATATCGGCTTTTAACGAAATACGTCTTATAAAAGTTTATAAATTGGGATTCGATACTTATTTTTACATGTTACAAAGTCACGTCTGCATGTAATTAGAAACGGATGGACCAATCATGCTATATATTAATTATTCGTTTTATGTATAATAGTGATAACGATAGAGAATAATATCGATATGCACCATACTTTTAAACTTTGTATTACATGTGTTACGAGAAAGCAGTTTAACTTTGCTTTAGACAATGAAATTGAGGAGATTGCAGTTGCCCTTGATGATCCGATTGGGGGACTAAACAAAGATCTTGATTGGTTGTAAGAATGATGGGTGGTAACAATGTGAATTTTTTTTAGCGAGACGTAGGTCGCCATCACGCTAATCAACGAAATCATCCGAGTGCTCTAGATAATGTGATATAGAAACAAAATTTTATTAAATTTTCCTGTTTAGTAAATTTGAATTCTGTGTTGAAACTTGCTTAGACAACGCACGTCCAGAATTCTATGGTGTATATACAATATATGTACGTATTACATGGATTTGTTTCTGAAACAACTTGGGTGCTGGGAATGGCATTCTTACATTCGCGCGACAAATTATAATTCAATGTTGCACAGAGGCAAATCCGAACAGGTTGATTTTTTTTTCTAATTAATGACAACAATAACAACAATAAAAGGATCTCGCGACTTTACATTATTCATTTTGTGCACTTGTTGAAACAAATTTAATCCTTTGGTCATCTTGAATCGAAAGTAAATTAATGATTTTATTTATAACGATAACGATAACGATATAATTTTGGAAAATCAATTTTAACTCATGCAAGAAATGATCGTACGTATAGTATGATTATTATTTAGAAAAGAGCTGATCGAATATTTCTACGAGATACTCCTAAGATAACACAAAAGCTGTTCTTTTATGTTAGGGATTGAATTCAGTGAACATGGTGTGCGCTCGCTTATCACACAATCAATTGCATTGTACCTTCTGATTCAAGTTTTGCAATAATTGATTTTGAGAAAATGATAGTCTCGGCATGAGGCTGATTTCGACGACGGCTATAACAATCATATTCATATGCACTTGATTAATGATTTTTTTTTAGCTGTTGGCTGCCACTTTTCTTTTTTTCTGTACCTTCTTACTTGACACGTTTTTCATCTCCATACCTTTTTATCCTTTTCACTATATCCTTCTAATAAAAAATCTAGTAGAAACTCAAATAATAGGAAAAATCATTTAGAAGAAAGTCGTCATTTACTTTTTTCCTAATTATTCTTTGAGAAACTTTCTTTTAAATCTGTTTTATCAAGTTGATTCCCCCAGTTTTTTCTGCTCCTGTGCAGTCTCCTATGTTTGACCCTGGCTAGCTTTTGCGAATTCCCCCTTTTATGTTCGCCCTGAGATCTGCTGCTTGCTTTTGTCGTTGACTTCTTGTTCCAAATATCTCCCAACATCTCTGCCCGAGTTTGCCCGCCCTGCTTGCTTGAACCTGTGAAGACCCGATTATTTTATCCACCCACTGCTGCAAATTTACAAATTTTGGTAAGTTATACCTGAGCTCTGAAACTTACGCATCAGTTGCCTGAAGTGTCTAGTTAGTAGAAATTCAACAATCCTCATTTTTTTCAACCATATTTATTAGATACTTTACCCCCTTGAAAAAATTTTACATCATATCGTGCGCTATTTCCAAAAGGAGACTCCCTTTTCGTAATAAAAATTCAGACTGCTCAACTTTTACTCTGAAGGCATTTGCGCACATCAAATCATCATCTACCTCGAAATAACAAAATAAAAATCGCAATGTCTACTCCAGTAAAGGGAAATGGAAGCGTAAAGATGAATGGATCCCTTAGATCACCCATCAATCCCCCTACATTGATCGAACACAAAAATTACCGATTTTTAATCGCCGATGCTCCGTCAAATAATAACTTACAACTTTACATCCAGGTATATTTATTTATTATACTGCTTTGCTTTGTTTCTAACAATCAATGGATTCCCCTCGTAATGAAAAAAATATCTTCTATTACGATAGGAATTCGAAAAATATAACGTTACCGATGTTGTTCGTGTTTGCGATCCAACTTATCATTCTGCGCCTCTCGAACAACGAGAAATAAAAATCCATGTAAGTTAATTAGCCCATTATAATTAGTAAAATTCTCACTGATGATGAATTTAACTTTTCATGATTCTGACATAGGATTGGGTATTCGGAGATGGTGAAGCGCCGCCATCCAATATTGTACATGATTGGCTTGATCTGGTGGAAAAGCGATTTGGAAAAGATGTTGACAGCGATAGGAGACCTACAATCGCTTGCCACTGTGTAGCTGGACTTGGCCGGTATATATATATGTTATCCATCATGTCATTTTTGGCCCCTAATAATAATAATTGATTTTTAATAATAATAAATGAATAATAGGGCTCCCGTTTTAGTTGCCATTGCTTTGATCGAATCTGGTATGTCACCTCTTGACAGTGTCGTGTTTATCCGAGAACGACGTCGAGGGGCAATTAACAATAGACAACTAAAGTATATTGAAGGATACAAAAAGCGATCCAAGACCAAGTGCATTATATGTTGACTGCATGATCTTGGATTTTTGTTTATTTATTCGGTTTTTCTTCGTGAGCAAAATTTATGTAATGTTTTTAAAAGTTTGGGGAGTAGGAATTGCTCTGACCGATTTGGTGAACTCGTGCCAAGGAAATTTAACAGGGCGAATTCAAAACAAAAATTTAGTCGACATCATACAAGACGACCAAACTTTAAAAAATCATTTTTGAATTCATCACATTCTCGTTGGAGTAAATCCCAATCCTTAGAATGTCAATTACCCGCTGATGTCATTACTAGTACTCCTCGAATTTTTAATTATAGTTACAACCACAATTACTCCCCTACATCTAGATCTCTCTTTTCTTTTATTCCCGAAAAAATTTTGATTTTCTCATTCTTTATTGGACATTTTTTCTTTACTACTTTAGTTTTCAGAATTTTCTTCTCTCTGTTAGGTTTCGTGCATTTTGATAATGGGTAAATAGGAGAACTATTTTTTTAAACTGTATAATATCTATTTGGCTTTTCCATTCTGAATTTGCCCTTGGATCAATTCGAAATCTGCCCGGTAAAATAGCAATGCGCTTACTATGTTTGTCGTAGCTTTGCAGCGGATTTGCGCCTGATTGTACTCTAAACAAACAATCTCATGACTGATTACACTTGGTAGTTAGTCAACCTTTTTTTTTTAAAATAAAACAACGTAACCATGGCAGTTGGTGCGAGGTTTTCTAATGGTCTCCCTATGCCTTCGCGCAGGTGAATTAACCTCATTCGTCACGTATTATGTGTCTCGAGTGTTTTTTTGCCGCTTTGTTGTTTTTCCTGGCTTTAAGCGTGCAATAACAAATTATAGATATTATAGACGATCTAATTGATTAATTCTTGTTTCTGCATAGTCAAGTACTTATTTCGAAAATAATTGGCGGAAGTATGACATTCTGTGAGTGGAAAGTAATAGAAATTCGGAATATGTCAATTATTGAGTTTAACTAAAATGTTTGGTCATTTGATATGAATCGATCTCACGTCACGAATCATTATGACGAAAGGGATGTAAGTTGTTGCTTTTTAATGTATTATGCATGATTTTATTGGAATTATTTTTATTTATATCCGCGAAATAAAGATTATATCGCGGTAGAGAGGAATTACCTGTCTTCATGGTTAGTAAATCTTTTGTTTAGTACATGGATATATTTCTTCGTATTAAGTCAATTTATATATAAATCATAGCACTGGAGACATCCATGGGAAGGTCATGGACACCATCACTCGGGAAACGAACATACTGAATCGCATACCGCTGAAGCACATCATTGAGATCATTTTTCCCGTTAAATAAATAATTTAGTCTCGGATTCCCAATTCGTTATTTATTAATTCTGTCTCAAGGTGATGTCAATTCATTGGTACCCAAAAAGAATTTAAAAGGATCGAGCATTCATAACAGTTTTAGATGGCTATATTTTTTTATTCCAATAACGTATGGATTAAATAAAAGACAAGGTGCATCATCGTTTGTATGTTAATTTTTATCAAATTGAGAACATTTCCCGACTGTTTAAATTACGGGGTGGATATGCTTGAAATCCTTTTATGTAGTGTTCCAATATTATAAACAAATATCTATTTCTCAAATAAATTCAAATTAGAGAATGTGAATTTGCGTGCACTATTTCTCTCAATCAACTTCTTGAGTTATAACGCGAGCTTTAGCCTAAAATTTTGATACAATTTATTAGAAAATCAAAGGCATAGTCGGAAAAAATTTGTAAAATAACGGCAAAATTTTTTTTACTAACATTAGTTATTCTAACTGACAATTGCTCGGCTCTTTCGATTATCTTCGTTCGATTTCTTGAGCTCACATTATGTGCTAAAGATTAACGGAAGCGTTAGATTCGAAGGATTTAAAAAATCAAAAGCAAAGGTTCTTTTACCTATTTCGGCGGCATAAGTTTTGTTATGCATCAGCAATAGTTCCAATTCGTCGACGTTGGACACGAGGAATTTTTTGAAACCATTGGGCAACAAATGACGGGTCTTTTTATTCGAGCCATAACCAATCTTTGGCATAGGCAACTGACCCTTGAATCGGCGTCGAACTCGATTGTCAATACCTTTGGGTTTTCTCCATGATTCCTGTAAGAACAGAATTCCATTAGCGAACGAATGATCGAAGAAAGCGAACTATATATAATAGAGAATCAAAATTTTATTCGTCACCTTTACTGATTTATAACGATCTGACTGATGACGCTTGAAGGGTTTTGTGCGCTTCTTGACAATCTTAACTTTCTTCACGGGATTGACCATTTTTACCTAGATTTATATATTGAAATATTGAAATATTGATTTCAAGATAAATCAATTCGAAAAATTTTGAAATACACATAAAAACGATATTTATGTAATCTTTTTGTCAAATAAAATATATGTGGTATTAAAAATAACTTAATAAAAAACCATTCGTATTAGTGCATTTCAAAAAAAATAAATCCATGTGGAATCCTGAACCCGGATTTTAAGTTGCACGAAATTATACACATTGCAAGAAATATCAAGAGAAAAATGCCAGTTTACCAATACCTATAGCCAGCATTTATCCCAAAAATAACAAAGTAAAAGCATATAAAGTGTAAACGCAACCAAGTCAAAAACCCACCTGAAAAAACGGATGGATGAAAAGAGGAGGATTCGTTCGTGGTGTTTACAAAAATTTTTCTTCAAAGGCCAATGACGTCAATATATCAAAGGGATGTGATTGGGTGTTGAAAGAAATTCTATCGGAGATGAATTGATTGGAGACAAAAATTCACACAATGCCATCTCCTCGACCAACAGCACATAGAGATTCACGCGAACCTAGCAGATATGAAAGAGACGAGAGACGACATTCACACAATCCTCGCTCTCGCTCACCTCCAAGACAACAAAGGCAGCGGTCAATCTCTCAGTCACCTAGAGTTAAATCTAGGACGCGACATTCAAGATCCCCTCGGAGACATCGCTCCAGATCGCGTTCCCCTCCCATGAGACAAGAAAGACATCGCTCAAGATCGCGTTCCCCTCCCATGAAACAAGAAAGACATCGCTCCAGATCGCATTCTCCTTCCGTGAGACAAGAAAGACATCGCTTCAGATCGCGTTCTCCTTCCATGAGACAAGAAAGACATCGCTTCAGATCGCGTTCTCCTCCTATGAGACAAGAAAGATTTCGTAGGGATTCAATTGAAGAAACAAGCAATAGACGACGATCTTCACGAAACTCAAGATCTCCAGTTCACCGGTCTCGTTCACCACCATCAAGTACAAAAAGTGATAAAGGCACTAAAAAACCAAATTTCGGACTTTCGGGAAAACTTGCTGCAGAAACGAATACTTACAATGGTGTCGTATTAAAATATCATGAACCTCCAGAAGCTAGAAAACCGGCGGAGAGATGGAGGCTCTATGTATTCAAAGGGGATGAGCAAGTAGGTATGTTCAAATATATTGCGGTAAATGAAGATTTTAATGAAATTTGATCTAATCGAACTGCGATTCAATTTGAAAAAGATTTACTCCACATTCACCGTCAAAGTGCCTATCTATTAGGTCGCGATAGACTTGTGAGTGAGTTTTTTATTTTTGATGAGATGGTTCCTGTAAACATCTTGTTGATTTGTTTGATCTCTTTTGATAGGTTGCAGATATTCCCATTGATCACCCTTCTTGTTCGAAACAACACGCAGTATTACAATATCGACAAATATCTGAGAAAGATGAATATGGGCAACTTCACTCGATGGTGAAGTAAGTCAACGTTTCAATTATTAATATCTTTACTTTTGACATGCTGAATTTAATTGTTTTACAATTTGATGATTAGGCCATATGTTATAGATCTTGAATCGAGTAATGGGACTTATGTCAATAGTGTACGCATTCCCACTACTCGTTATTTTGAGTTAAAATTAAAAGATGTCTTAAAGTTTGGATTCAGTACACGAGAATACGTATTGATGCACGAAGAAGTAAAGGAAGGGGATGAAGACGAAGCTTGAAATTGACATGTTTACCATTTACTGATATTTAACTTGAACACAAGCTTTGGATTTATTTATTCTTAATAAAGAACGCACAGAATAAAGGTGAGATTTCGAATTACTTTCGGAGACTGTATAGCATTCACGATATTAACATTTCTTTGATTCAAAATTACACATATTACCGCCCAGTAAATTGTTGTTATTGTTATTCGAAGTTCGAATATTGATTGCTAGGTAAGTAAAAGAGTGTGCGCTTTTGTGATATTAATCTTGTATGTCAAAAAAAGCAGTTTTGCAAGATTTGGTACCAATGCGTCAAATAAACAACCATTGAAAAATTACGTCTAAAAAATGTTGAATCGCAACCTGTTCATTGATTAGTCTTTCACCACTTTCTTTTCACATCCACTTTCTATAGATGAATTATGATTAACGTAAAATTGTTGAGTGATTTATTTCAAGAGTCACTCGGTGTTTTTGTGATTAAGAGGGATTTTCTCGTTCTATAATGTACAGAATATAAAGAATAAAAATTATTACAAGAGGAGAGGAGGAAATTGGTAATAATTAATATGTACAAGCAAAATATAAAGTTGTAATGTAAGATTGCAAATAAAAAATAACTACTACTGCTACGAAGTGAGAGTAGTGAAGCAATTATTGATTGTTTAACGATAAATAAAAAAAAAAAAGCGGTGATTAACCTTCGCTTACGGATTAGCCAAAGAGAGGGAGCAAAAAAGAATGGATTTTCTGATTACCAAATTAGCTATTTTTCTAGAATTGATACATCTTAAACTGCGCATTATATCTCATATTCATACATCAAAAGATTCTTTTCTCCTACTTTCTCTCATACAAATCGTACACACTACACACACAACATCCGGGTAGTAATCGGCGGTTTGTCATCCCACCTCATTCTCCCCGTTCGTTTGGATTTTTGCTATGACTACCAAGGTAAAGAAAGTTTAGCAGCTTCCAAAAAAATTTAGACTAAAAAAAAGATAATAATGTCCGTCTTTTTTTTATAACTGGGTAATCGATGTATATATAAATTTTAATGTCACTAATTTCCGATTTTTTTCGGAGTCAATTCAGCTCTTTTTGGTTATCGATATATTATTAAAAATTATAGTTAATTTTGTATGGGTTTTGTGTTGTTGAGAGAGTATTCTTTTCCACTACTTCCTAATAAACTCATTGTACTGGCGGAGTGTTTACTGACGGAGTGTTTTCGTGCGTTATCAAAGTATTGTTAAAAGGATTGTCTAGCCGTGTTGGAGTTAACATAGGTGATGCACTCTCATATTGATCCGGTTCCACAGTAACTGCTCTCCGATACCTCGGATGCTGCTTAACTAGATTCACATAATAATTCTGCAAAATTTCGCCGGGGCAGACTAGATACCAATCGATAAGCGAAAGAAATTCCAATTCCAAATTGTTTAATTCCTGTGTTGTTATCCCACCCACTCGAGCATAATGAGAGTTCGTACAATAAGAATCACACAATGCCTTCGATGAAACTGTGATTGCAGCGATAATAAATCGATGCACAGTCAAAGAAGAAATTGTGAATGTCCTGTGTCGCTCACACACTCGGTCAATATATATTAGAATTATTAGAAGACATGCTCTTTCGACCGACGTGTATCGGATTATTCGGCGAAGGTAATCTTCAATCGATATTATTGGAGGTGCTCGGGAGTGAAATCGCGTGAGATTTGCGGGGGTTAGAGGTATTTGGTCATTATGTGCTATGAGCCGAACTAACATATCAGCTGTTTTATAAGTATTCAGTAATATGGATACGTAGATATATAGGATGAAAGGGGGAGAATATAGAGAGAAGAGTAAAGAGGAAGGAATGAGCTAAAAATGATATATACTACACACATCAAGACTGAGAATTGATGTCACAGCTTTAATACTTTGAAATCAAGTAGAACTTTCTTGGGGAAGTTACAAACCGATCATATGCATCAAATGATTCGTGTCGACAATATAGAAGTATTCGGGAACCTCAATAATGGTTAGTGGCATGTGGCTCATATTGATGCATCACAGCCAACTAAGGTGAACTGTCCAAAAGTGTGAACACTCGGAAGTATGCAAAGTCTTCAGTAGCGGTGAGGAAAAAAGATAAGTAATTGTTTCTGTGTTTTTGCGATTTTTTATTATTTGTTTCTCTTGCCCGGACAGGTTCACAAAAAGGTAAAGAGGGTTGATGATTTAGAAGAGACGAGAGGAATGAATACAACCGCACAGCGTTCACATATGAGAAAACAGATGCACGACGTTTCGAGGATGTTCCAACTATTATTTGTTTAGAATTCGATTCAGTAGAAACGAAGTTAAAAAAACTAAGGTATATAGTTGTAAATTTTTGTTGAAACAATGGACGAGCTTATTGGTGATGTCATTGTACTATGTCAGACATTGATCTGTTAGTGTAAGTGGTGCATTTTTCCAATCAGAGTCTGAGTCTTCGCGCGTGCAAATAGATATGAACTTTGTTTAGTTCTTAAAAATTGTCTAGGATAAACGTGGGCTTTGCTTGTTGTTCTTTTGTGAGTTTTAATTATTAATTTTCATCATGTAAGACGAAACACGCCATTTCTATATAAAACCAACACGTTTTCAAATTTTATCTTTATTGATTTCTTATTGTCATAATTTTTAGCATTATTCAAACATATACACATACACACACATACCATCCATCAAATCGAATGCGTGTACGCGCGCACACATAAAAATACATGCACATTCATTTGATTTGATTGCTTTGGTTTAAAACACAAATGCGCATAATTTGTATATATGCGAGCGAGACAAAGGCGAAAGAATGACATGTTTTTCTTAATTTCTAAATCATGTGAGCAGTCATCACAAAGAAATGTACACTTTGTAAACTCTATAAAGAAACACTCTTGTTGCACGCCGAATATCCGCGTTGATTTGAATTTTTGACAGAACTTATCGTGTTGAAGAGAATGTTTACAATAAAGATTATCATAGTAGGAAAATAATTATTGGTACGACATTCATTTGGGAAAATTTCAATTCAATTAAATATAGACTTTTTGAATTCCAATCATTTGCTCGCTTTTTACCACATGCACACGTAAAACATAAACGTGTTTTCATTGATAGCGATAGGATCGGGAATATACCAAAATGGGTAAATGATTGTACATTTCCGTGTAATGTTCAAGCTTAAAGAGTGAGACACGTGGCGTCAAGATAAGAGATGGTTTGCCTTTTTTGTAGGAATTTATTTTTTTTTAAATTGTCATAATTAATTGTGTTTGTTGTTTTTTCTTGTAATCTTGAATTTCGGAGTTTGTGTTTTTCTTCTGTTATTGGATTTCGGAGTTTGTGTTTTCCCTCTCCAATTTTGCATTACCAAAAAATATCCGTTGAACATTCAATAACGATAATAACTTTTACTATTTCGGAATCATGAACTACTTACTATTGTCGTTATGGCAATTTTTAGTTGTGTGGCTGAATTTTGATTTGTTAACCGCGCCAAATTGCCATTATAGACGATTACAAATTCATAAATTAAAATATGCACATGCACTCAATTTTTTGATTTGTTTGCCCAAAACAAAATTCCGTTAAATTCTCGGTTATCTTTTAATTCCAACAATTTAATTAAGTATCAAAAGTAATAACAAAGAAAATTCCAATTACCTAATCGTTTGACCGAATTCTGAAACGATTGGTGCATGGTACTAACAGCGATAGTTTGACTACGTAAGCATGAAGTTGTGTTTCTCAAGATACAAGAACGAAAATTGGCGAAAACAAAAGAAAATTATTTCTTGATCAATTTATTGGCAAGATGAATTAAATAAATTTCGTGATAAGCCAAAAGTTGCGAGTTTTTAGTTTTTAGATCATTTCCCCAAGTTTGACTTTATATTGATTTAGGTAAAGTAACATTTAAATACTATAGTGATAAATTTTTGCGCACTAAATAAAAATGTCCATGATGAGCTAAATTGTCAAATAAGCAAGTGCAATAAAAGATTATATAACTAAATTACAATGGGATGTACGAGAGAATGCTCTTTCATACCTAAAATTTACTATCATTCATATATATACTTATATATATAAATCATAAAAAAATAAAGAAAATAAAATGCAATGTTTCAAATATTCAATGATAAGACCGGAGTCATTTATTTCCGCCCTTTCTTCGAAAGTGCGGCATCCAGTGATGTTTATGATGCGATCCATCAGTTGACGTTGATTCTGTCAATAATGAAATGCAAGTCAATATAATAAATATACATGTAAAATTTTCAACAAATTATTCATTTTTATCACCTAAATGCTCAGAATCGAATGGCTGTTGCTGAGACATACTATGTCGTTGTCGTTGTTGCTGCTGCTGCTGTTGCTGTTGTTGTTGACGTGCTCGCTGTTGTTCAGCAAGTTGACGTGTTTTTTCTCGACGAGCAGATTCTTCTTGTCGAAGTTGTTCCTCCTCATATAATTGCTGTTGCTGCGTAGCATATTGGAATCTCCCATCTTGAATTGGTACTCTGACGCTAGTTGAATTTTCATTTGTACGATAGCCTGATGTACCATTCTCTATTTGAGGAACTCCATTTACAGTAACTTGTCGCGAACCGTTCGATTCTGTAATAACTGTCACGTTACCCTGTTTTCACAATTATTCAAAAATATTAAAATCATTTTAATTATCAATAAATATCCAAGCAATGATATGATACCTGAGAATCTTGTTTTGTAATTGTAGTTGTTTTTACACCATTAACAATAGTTGTTGATCTCGATTCTGAAATACCACCTCCACCCATTGAGCTCGAAGAAAACGAAAACGATGAAGTTGTTCCCCCAAATGATCCAAATGGTCCGGGAAGGAACGGATCATCAAAACCGAAAATACGACTTCGTGATGATCCAGATCCTGATGAGCCAAATGGGCCACCGCCGAAGAATGGATCAAATCCACCTCCACCTAATCCACCTCCACCTAAAAAAAATCAACTTATCTTTATATGATCAACAAACTAATAAAAAAACGAGTTATAAAAATAATTACCAAAGAAGTTCTGAAATGGATCACGACCATTAAAGAATTGTCTAAATATTTCCTCTGGATCGTGGAACTAGAAATAAAATAGAAATATCAGTCAATATGTTAAGGTTCCAAATTTTGTAAATGAATCGAAGTGCTTATATACCTGGAATCCAAATCCTGGATGATGACCATTTGTTTCGAATCCATTACCCATACCCCCATTTTTCAGTCCATCTTCTCCATATAAATCATAAATTCTTCGCTTTTCATCTTTAATTAGAGAGAAGGAAAGAATAAATAAATAGAGATTCAAATTGTAATTTAGACTTTTCACTTACTATCACTTAGCACTTCATAAGCTTCCGAAATTAATTTGAATTTTGCTTCAGCCTCTTCACGACGATCAACATTTTTATCGGGATGCCAGGCAAGTGCTTTTTTTGTATTTTAAATAAGAGGATCGATTATTTAGTTAAGTACGGGATCGATTAAATAATCTTAATTCGATTTTTTCCAATTAAATACTAAATAATCCTGCTATCCATTACAATACTCACCTTGCTTTCGATACGCCTTCTTCACATCATCTACAGATGCCTCGCGTGATATGCCTAACACTTCATAATAAGTTGCTTTCACTTCCATATCTTTATTTATATCTCTTGCTGTTTTCTTCTTTTTACTCTCTTCGGTTTTTGGTTGTGTACCACCCTCTAACTTTTCCTTTGAATTCTTTCTTTCCTTAGTAGGAGAAGGCTGTTTAGTTACTTTATCAGGAACTATCTTTGGAGTATTTTTTTCTTCGTTGTAATCTTTGTCTAGAAAATGTTTACGTCTTCTTTTTTGTGGTTGTTTACCCTCGTATTCGTCCTCCTTGTCTTCGATGTTTAACGAAAAAGACTCTTTCTTTCGCTTCGCCGTACTGACAACAGTTTGGATTTGAAGTTGCAAGATTTAAAAGACTTGAATACAATGGTTGTGTGGTTTGATTTCTGCAATTCCTTTCCTATTGTTAAAACAAAAGGCAATCTAATTCGATTAATAGTTTTTGAGATGACCTCATGCATATACACAACATTACATATTGTTACACAATGGCAATAGAAGCTTCTGGACGATTCTCTAAAGTTCAGTACTTCTGCCCGAAAATCATCATGATTGATGTCATCAAACGTTTGTACGTATTTTATAAAATACAAAATTTAATCTGTGAATATGATAGAATAGGCTTAAATTTTGTATTTTATAAAATACATGTTATGCACCATAGCCCTTTAATTGGTTGCTTCTGAGAACAAAAAGTAAATTGTATCGAAGCAGATTTTCCTCGACAAATTACGGACTTATTGTAAGCAAGGTAGTGCCAGCTATAAAATTAAGAGAGAATATTTGAAAGAGAACATTATGTGAACGCCGGAGAGTTTATGAAGACGAAATAACTTACAAAAAAAGCACGCAGTTTACCATTGATCAATTGGTTATACAACGATTAATTAGTTTACAATTTGCGGGTGAAAAAGAAAAAATATATTTCCAAAATCATCACGATAAATCGAGCATCAACCAATTTAACATTAGTTCGATGAATAATCAGATCATAAAAGAGCAGCAGCAGCCTACATTAGAAGTTGACGATAAAGTATTGCAAAATTATTTCGATGATTATTATAATGATGATTGTTATTATGAGCCTTCTATAGATTTTTCTCCAATAAAGCAACCGCAAAGTGTATTTTCAGAGAAGCAAATAGGTGAAGCTCTAAGCATGCATAAGATAATGGGAAAAAATAAGAAAAAAGAGTATCGAATTATTAAAACCGAATCTCCAGGAAAATGTAAAAAATTCAGTGACAATTACGGGAATACCAGACGATTATACTCAGATGACCTTGGAAGAGTTGAAGGTTGGCGGGTGAAATATTTTCTGTTAAGATGAAAAGAGAAAGAATTTTGAATTAATCACTTATGATGGGCAGCGGTATCAAAATACGGAATTCGACCAAATTCTAGAAATATCATGATAAAACAGCTTCAGACTCTATGGGAGAAATTAATACAGGAAACTTGGATACATCTAACTCTGTTAGTCGTCGATCTAATATCTTATCTGAACGACAGAAAAAACAGTCAGCTGATCCCATTATTAAATCTGTTGTCGCATATCACGATGAGAAGAACGACGAGGCTCTTTCTGAATTCAGTAGTGAAGGTGATGACTTGCCGCTTCTAGATCTTATTGATTCTTTCGACATCATGAGCGGTGAATATCCATTAGAAGAGGACATAGCCAAACAAATCAACGATTGTTCGAACAAACGATTATGGTTGAGCATACTAGAATATCAAGTTTGTAATGCTCGCTCTTTACAGTTATTATGTATGCTTCTAAGTTTTATTACTATGTTTTTCATAGGATATTAACTTCGACCAAACTTTGAGATCTCAATAATGCAGGAATTAATTGCAACTCAAGTCAGTTACGTGTTTTCATGGATAGTCAAGTAAGTTTTTCTTCCATTATTTTTTTCTACAGTGCAGGTCACTTAGTTACCACAATTGGCCAAATCTTTAAGACCTATAACTCAACAATCTGAACTTTTCCAGTCAAAAAAATTATAGAGTAGTCAATAAACTATTGATCTACGTATTTTGAGGGCTCTGGTATGATTTGAAGTTAATTTTTTTATGTGGTGACTAAGTGACCCGCACTGTATTTCATATTTGATTTTTCACTTTATATAATTCCGTAAAAGGCAATTATCTCAGATGGAAATCAAAAAAGAAAACGGCTAAAGCTAGAGCTAAAAAAATCAATGGGAACAAGAATGCATTTAATGTAAGATCGTATGTAAACATAGAATGTATTTATATAATGTGACTACATTGAATTAGAAACAATAAATCAAGTTCCCTTTTTCTCTTTTCTATCAAGTTTTATTATTATTTACAATAAACATCTAACAATAACACGTAATCTACTGATGGAGGATCCCTCCTTTTACAGGAATGGTACAAGATGTGCTGTTTAATGCTCGAAGAGATAACAATCTTACGTATAATTCCAACAGTATTATTCCTCCTTTCAGAGAGATGGCACAAGACATGTTGCTTAGTGCTCAAAGAGATAACGATCTTACATATAATCCCAACAGTACTATTATTTATTTGTAAAGTGAAAGGGGGATGTTCAGCCATAGATTATTTTTTATGTATACCCATTTATAGTTACACCTTTCTATAGTCATCCTATTTTGCTTTTCCATTTACATATAAATATAGTAAAAAAAAACCCCTTTTATAGTCACATTCTCTCTATAGTTACCAAATTTGCTTTCCTGAGGGTGGTGATTATAGAGAGGTTTGACTGTATCCAACCTATCCTTTTTGATTAATAAACTCTATAGGACATTTTCTTTTTATATTCTTGATTAGAAATTAATTGAGATCCGATCTTAGCATTATTTTAATTTTGATTATTCGTTGAAAGAGATGTGGCACAGCCACCTTGAGTTATAATTTTCATATTGCATTTTAGCTTTGCCCTCAAGATTATTGTTATATTTGATTTTAGAGAAGAATCTCTTATCAAACATTCAGCTTTTGAAAGCATTTTGAAGTTATATCAAAGTCAAAATTCACATTTTTTTGTTAAAATTATTCTAATTCTTAATTTTGATGAATTCAATCTTGCTAACATTTTATTATTCTTCATTTTTCAGTAAAGAACTTTTTGAAAATGCAATAAAAATCATGTTAAAGTTAGAATTTGCATTCTTATGTTCAAGCTTGCTGATATTTTATTTTTTTAACAAAGATTTTTTGAAAATGTAATAAAATACAAAACTTTAATAAATTATTATTATTATGATTATTTAATGATAAATACTAAAATTTGATTATTATTTTATTGAACTTGCAGTTTAAATACATTACTATTGTTGTTATTAATTATTAATGAATGTTGTTACAAATAGAATTTCATAATTCTATCATTAATTTCTTAATGCTTTAAAAATATTTTTAATATTTAATGAATATCATTTTTTACAATATTATTAAATTTAATTAAGATATTTTATTTATCATTTATATTATATTTATTACATGTATTATCTTTACTATATTTATATATTAATGAAAAATATTTATTATAAATAAAGTATAATTGAAATTTTAAAAAAAAATATCAATTAATCAATACAAAAATCTAACTAGTCAATAAACTATTTCTTTTTTATTGTTAATAAAATTTGTACATTAATTAATTAAATAATAACTTATTAAAATATTTACAATTATTGAATATTATTAAATAATTATCAAGTTGCTATAGAATATCAGTATTATATTACTATAGAACTATCTCATACTAAATAAATATAATATTTATTAATAATAGTGATAACCTATCTATTAGATAGAAGAAAATGTATTGTATGATAATTCTAAAATACATAACTATAATAAGATTAAGTAATCATAAAATATTATCAAAAAATATTAATTAAATATCTATATTATAATATTACTTATCAAAAGTCTGATTATGATAACAGTAACAAAATTATTAAAATTGTTGATAAGATTATTGAATTAAATTTATTTATTGTTATTTTTTATTGTTCTTGTTATTTTTCTTGAAGTTTTAATTCTTCTTGATCTTCTTCTAGAATTTCTTCCTCTATGATTTCTTTTTTTTTTGAATTTTATAAATGTGAGTCATTTTAAATTACAATTTGATTTTTTGAATTTTGTAATTCAGATAGTTATTTACAAAGTTTTTGTTATCAATGATAAGCTTTTCTTTGTACAAGAAAATTTGTGATTTCTTGTTAAAGCCTATATATATATATATATTTGAATTACTTGTTTATTATATTGAAAATATTTTTTTAATAATTTAATAAGTTAATTTATTAATTTAGTAGTTGAATTTCTCAAGTAACTTTTAGCAAAGATTTTTGCTAACTAATCTTTTATTTCTCTTAATTGTTTTTTATTAAGATTTGTTTTTAACTCAATTTCTTCTTATAATTCTCAAAATACTTGATTTATTTCAAGATTAGTTAATTATGTTGAATCTAGTTTGAAAAGCTAAATAAAATATAGTTGATAGCTTATTTATTTACAAAGGATTCTTTGATAAATATTTGATTAAAAATTCTTTATTTCATTAAAACATTCTTTTATTTAATATTTTTGATATAATTTACAGAGAATTTTTTTATTAATAATTGTTCTTTATAAAAAATATCTTTATAATAATGCTTTGATTTACAAAGAAATCTTTTACTAAAATTATTCTTTTAAAATAATACAATTTGAAATTTTAATTCACAAAAAGATTTAATAATTGTTCTTTTATAATAAAACTTTTATAACAAAACTTTATAATGCTTTTGAAATTTGATCCACAAAGAATCTAATAATTGTTCTTTTTATAATGGAACTTTATAACACTTTTGAGATTTTGATTCACAAAGAGAACACCAAACTTTTGTTATCATTTTGATTGACTTTCAAAATAATAATATAATTGTGAGCTTTTAGAACAATTTTGATGTTTTTTTTTTGTTAATTATAGTCGATTTCTATAGAATTTTGGACTTTTACTGATTTTTTGATAACTCTTATTAATTCCTATAAGTAATATATTTTCTTTAACCATATAATACTGTAGTGTATTTTTTGTTATCTTAATTAATTATTTTTTAGTTTTCTGCGGAGCATAGTTATCTTTTTGGTTTACTAATAGCTTTATGTTACTGTGAGCATGAATCTTTAGGTGAATGCGAAACAGATGCGGAGCATTAGTTATCTGTTTAGTTTATTATTAGCTTTCTGTTACTGCATAGTAAAACGAAGCAGTAGTATTCTTTAAGTTTTATATTAGTAATAAAGCTAGTAAAAAATATGTGTCTCTGACACTAGCTCTGCTATAGTAACTTTTAGGACAAATTCGGTGTATTTTTTTCTCACCCAAAGCTTATTGCTGAGGAATAGTAAGTTGCCGAGTATAAAGTCGCATGACATAATATCCTTTAGCATGTTTTTTACAGATCCCAGGTGCAGAAGCAGTAGACTTACCACAAACTTTACATAAAATACGTTTTTTAGCTCTCCAATGTTCACAAACTTCTCCAGAATTGTGTATATATTCACATATATATTCATCCTGCATTTCGATAAAAATATATAACTGAATTAATTATTTTAATTTAAACAAAAGATCTGGTTATATTGATAAAATACATGGATTACATATATCAATATGGTACTCAAATGTCCAGGTTGTGATCGTGAAATAAAAACTGGTAAAACCAGAGATCTAAACAAGCATATAAATTTAACTGGAAACCTTCGTAAGGGACAATGTCAAGCATATTTGCGTTTAATGCAAAATCCAGCTCCAATGCAAAATGCACTAACCCCAGAGGGCGATCTTATTTCATTCGATGAAAACCCATCAACATTCCGGAAACAGATCCAGAAGCTGTATCAGGTCCCAGAACTCAAGAGCATAGAGAGCAGAAAAAGAAACTAACTTTAACGATAGATGAGTCAATACAATGGTTATCAAAATCAGAAATAAAAAATAATAAAAAAATTAGATCGAAACCAGTACCCAAGACATGGGAAGAATGGTTTGATCTAATGGAAAAAATAAAGCCAAAAGTGCTATCAACACTTGATAATGATGATAGTGAACTTAGTGATTCAGAATATGATACAACCGATGAAGATCCAGATATCTATTTTGAAAAAATTAATGATCCCTATATTAATAGGATAACAGAAACTGAAAAATTTAATGAAGGTGAGGTATGTGATTACTATGCATTCGTGCCAAAAGGATACTATGCCAAAAATGAGCCATTAGGTTTCTTTGAATCGATCGAAGAAAAAATTGGTGATATATAAAAAAGAGAATTAGCTTTAAAGAGTGGATTAAAGGTAAGAATTGTGTTATACGCATATATGAAGAATCAGGATGGACATTTATTCGAGCAGAAGTAGTATTTCTTGAAATTAGTGCTTTTAGACCTCTACGAGGAAGTAGTTGGTTACCACTTCCAGAGACTTTAGATAAATCACAACTAGGATTAATTAATCCACAAAGTTTCAATGATAATGAATGTTTTAGAGATTGTGTTTCAATGTATCATGCAAGAGAAGAAGCAATAAAAATGGGACAGAACCTACACATCTTGAACGTATAAGTAAAATTCGACGTTATGGTAATACCAAATTTCAATAGAATAAATTTTCCAGCAACACTACATGACATTGGTAAATTCGAAGAAATCAACCCTAACTATGCAATCAATATATTTAGACCAGTATATATAGAGGCCTTTGGAAAAATAAAAGTAGAAATCGATCCACTTAGAATATCAGAACGAAATTATCAAGTCGAGCATATGATAGATTTATTATACTTAACAGAAGATGAGGAAAGTTTAAATGATCGAAAAAATCCTAATGATATACCAGAAGGGCTTAAAACACATTATGTACTTATAACAGATTTTACACGGTTAATGCATAAGTGGAATAATCATCATGGAAAAAAATACTTTTGCCGAAAATGTTTACGATTTCCATATAGTAGATTAGATTTATTAGAGAAGCATATTCCTACATGTCCAGGACCAAGTAAAGCTTCACAACGTTTAATTCTTCCAGAAGAACTATGTAAAACCAAAGTATATCAAAAACGTTAATGAAACCGTATATATTTGATATGGATTTAGAAGCAAAAGAGATTGAGATAGAGAAAAAAGATAATGAAGGAAATACTATAAAAGTAGCAGAACAAATAGCAATTTCATATGGATATACATTACACTGTTCAGATGGAAAAACGCAAAAACCAGTCATTAATCGTAAATCAGAAAATGTAATAAAAGACTTACTAAATGACCTTCAAGAAGATTTGGATGTTATTATAGATAAGCTTTGTGATATCCAGTTCCATGTGAAAAAATGACACCAAAATTATGGAGGCAATATCAAATGGCGAGTAAGTGTTGGATATGTGAAGAAAAATCACATGAAACAGGATACAATAAAATTCGAGTGTTTGATCCAGAAACTAAAAAATATTTAGGAGCTTCACATAGAAAATGTCACGGAAAAAAAGCATTGATTCGAGGTATACTAGATGATGAACAAAAGAAAGCGCATGATGCGTGTAAAAAATGTATGTATTGTAAAACAATATTACCAGATGAAGGAAAAAATAAGGTATTAGATCACGATCATATTACAGGAAAATTTCGTGGACCAGCACACAATAGTTGCAATCTTAAATTACGAATTGATCCAGAAACAATAAAAATCCCGGTATTATTTTGTAATGGAAGTGGCTACGATTTTCATCATCTTTTGCAAGAAATAGCAAAAGCAACGAATGAAAAAATAGTACATATAGCAAATAATTCTGAGCAGTATATTACTTTCTCAGTTGGTCAACTTCAATTTATTGATAGCATAAAGTTTTCCTTACCAGGTTTAGCCAAGATGGCTGAAAATTTACGTGATGAAAAGAAGGGTCAGAATAAAACACCAGAACAACTTGCCAAATGCTTCCCTATTATGTCAAAATTCATCTCACCTCGTTTACTATCATTGCTTACACGAAAAGGAATATTCCCATATCAAATTTAATGAGACACAACTCCCATCACGTAAGGATTTTAACAGTGACTTAGATGGATATAATTATTGCGAGCATAAATGTGAGAATAAAGAATGTGAACACGAGAAAATTTATACCATATCTCAAAAGGATTATGACTTTGCCTGGACGGTTTGGCGAGAAACAGAATGCAAGACTTTTGGAGATTATCATGATATCTATCTTAAGGCTGATGTGTTGATTTTAACAGATGCATTTGAGGCATTCCGAAAAGCTTCATATTCAGCATTCAAGCTTGATCCAGCAAATTATTTAACAGCACCGGGTCTAGGTAAGTAAGGTAAAATTAGAACTATTTCACGAGTATCAAGAGGATATGCGCGACTTGTTTACAGCTATGAAAAGAGGAGGAATGTCTTTAGCTAGAAGGCGTATAGCTAGAGCTAATATTCCAGGATTAGAGGGGTACGATGGAAAAAATGGTTACTCTATTTGGACGCCAATAATCTCTATGGTTGGGCAATGTCTCAATATTTACCAACCGGAGGATTTAAATGGCTATCAACAAAACCTTTGAATGCATCTCACCCTTTAGTGCAGAAAATTTTATCTTTAAAAGAAAAATCAATTCAAGGATGTTGTTTAGAGGTTAAGTTAACAATACCAAAAGGATTACACCCCAAATTTCGTGATTATCCAATGTGCCCTGAACGAAAGAATGTACCATATGATTGGTATAGTTCAAAACAAAAAGAATGGGCAAATAATAAACGTTGTGATACAGAAAAACTTATATTAACTCTTCAAGATAAAGATAACTATGTTATTCATTATCGAAATTTACAACAATGTATAAAAGAGGGGTATGTTCTCGAAAAAGTATATCGAGTTCTAGGTTTTGAGCAATCTCCATGGTTGGAACCATATATAGCAATGAATACCCAACGACGAGCAAAAGCAAAAAATGCGTTCGAAAAAGATTTCTGGAAATTGATGAACAACTCAGTTTTCGGAAAAACTATGGAAGACGTTAGAAAACGGGTGAATATTGATTAGTTAGGCAGGTAGGGGAAGAACGTAGATTACGCAGATTATTATCAGATCCAGCTTTCACGAGTCGTAAAATTTTCTATGGGTCTAATCTAGTAGCTGTACATCGAAGACAGACCAACGTAAAGCTTAACAAACCCGAATATGTTGGTGCTTGTATTCTTGATCTATCGAAATTCTTTATGTATGACTTCTGGTATGGAAACATTAAAAATAAATATGATGACCGAGCCAAACTTTTATACACTCATTAATAATCGAAATCGAGACCGAAAGTGTATACCAAGATATGCTCGATGATTGTGATTTATATGATTTTAGTGACTATCCTAAAGATCATTGGGTAGTAAAGAATCTTCCAGAAGATCAATGGATAATCAATGATGAAGGTAAGCGTGTATTAAAAAATACTAAAGTTATAGGTAAGTGGAAGGATGAAAATGGAGGAGATCGAGCTACAGATTATGCAGGAGTTCGTGCAAAATGTTATAGTGTTGTGTGTGAAAATTCACGAAAAGATATGATAAAGGCAAAAGGCCTTAAAAAATCACTTATCAAGAGAGAGCTCACACATAAAATATTCAAGGACTGTGCTTTGGAAGGAAAAGAGGATCAACCTCGAACAGCGCAATTTCTCCGAAGTTACAGACACCAAATGTATAGGATAACGCAAACAAAAAGAAGTGTTAATCCACTAGATACGAAATTGTGGATTGCCCATGATGGAGTCACAACTTATCTATATGGAGATTGTGAAATTCCTGAAGAATAATACGCATTTTGTTTATATTTCACTAGGTCTGACCACTTAATGAAATTGGCATAATTATAATATATTTTTTATTTCGAATATTTATTTCCACCACTTTCCTTTATTTAAAATATATTTTGGAGGTAGAACTACTTCCTTGAATACTTGAAGTTGTTCTCTTACAAACCGACGCTCAGGTCCATTACCTTCATTATCAATTAATTTATATAATACAGGTTGATTTTTCTGAACAAGAGCTTCACCAATTCGGTAAACATAAGGGCTCCATATCAAATCACCTGTTCATCTTCTAGGAAGACCACCTTCAAGCTCACCAGGTTTAAGCAAATAACGCACAAAATCTCTATAAGACAATCGAGGCTCGTCATAACCAATGAGACCATTACGGGGTTTGGAAGGCTTGGCATACACATGCTTCTTTTTTCTCGCGTCAGCTGGACTCATACCAATCAAACGTGTCGGAGTATTATTAAGCTTGATAAGAATAGGGCGAAGAATTTTCTTAAATACTCGAGACCTTTCAGGCCAAGCTAATAGCATTTCTTGAGCATATTGAATAGGGAATACTTTTTCGATCAATGTACAATTAAACCGTTCAATAATCCCAACACCCTCCTTAGTTAAAGCTTGTATATGTTCTATATTTTGTTTGTCATAAAATTTCTTACATTCACCTAAAAACTCAGTACCTTTATCTGTGATCAATATTTTTGGATAGGATAAAGAAATGTCAGGATCACTATAAACATCTTCAAATATTTTAACAGTTTGAGCTGAATTTTTATTATTTTGTAAAACTGCCCATCCAATGCGAGATGCTATACATAGTGTCAATTGGTATCATGTGAGTATGAATTGTGACTTAGATTTGTGCGACAATATACAGTGACCTTCCAAAATATTGTGGACACTTTTAAAAATATAATACCATAAAAACCAATAAAAAAATACTTTATTATTATAAGCTAATAGATTTACTAAATCATAATGTACATTAACTTAAAATTTCAAGTTAAATTTTTTTGTTAAACCGAAACTCATCTCGCCAAACTGTGACGAGTTTTGTCTGATTTCGAGACACGTTTAGCCAAATTAATCTTGCAAATCTAACATCAATACTTTGTCGGCCCTCCCCCAGCTTTAATACAAGCATTAACGCGATTCGGCATACTATCTACCAATTGACGGCAAAACTCGGGTGATATGTCACGCCAGGCTTCTTGAACAAGACGTTTAAGATCAATGAGATTACTTGGATTTGGTTTGCGTCGAAGAGCATTTTTGACCTCATGCCAGAGATTTTTGATTGGGTTTAGGTCTGGGCTTTGAGCGGGCCAATCCAACACTCGAACTTTGTTTTCTTTGAGGAAATTGCTAGCGGCGTTGGAGATGTGCGGTCTTGCATTATCTTGTTGAAACCAAGGCTGATCACGATTCACATTTCTTGGGTAGGTCTCTAATGTTGGCAAAACGTACCTACGAAGAATTTCAACGTGAGACTTACCAGTGGCAAAGCCATTGAGCGCGACGAGAGGGCCAGTTCCATACCAAGAAAAAAATCCCAGTGCATCTGACTAGGACCATGCTTGACAGTACTACTCACACATTCAATATCCCATTCTTCATGTGACTCACGCCAGACCCGACAAGATGATTGTTGAAAGAGGCAAAATGTTGATTCATCTGATCACAAAACACGACGAAAATGTCGAGCTGTCTAGTCTTTATGTGCGAGACACCAGACAAGTCACCTCTCAGCATTAACAGTGGAAATGAGTGGCTTGGGATGTGCAATACGGGACCACAGATCTTCTTTATGTAGCGCAGCGATTTTCACTAATAACAAGAGTCTTGAGGACAAAACGATTGGAAATAGTAAGAAGCAGTGGTCATCCCGTCCGAACAGCTTGCGATTTAACGGTTCCTGATTCGCAAAATCTATGAATAACATTACCCACAACAGATTTTCTATAGCCTACGTTAGCTGCAATAGTGCAGTACGAGTCGTTCTTACAGTAACCATATACAATAGCTCCCTTTTGTTCTTCGGTTAAGTCTTTTTCACTTCCCATAGTGTGTTTGATGTGTATTATTGACGAATTAGACGAATTACCGTATTTTCGGCAATTAGTACCCTCTTGATGAAACATTCCCCTGATAAAGAACCCTGATACTAATTTCGGTTACAAGTTGAGTAGAATATAAAGTATCCCTCCTTCAGAATTAGCATTATTCAGGCCAAAACTAAAGTAATCCACCGTATAATATACCCTTCTCTTCACAAAGTACCCTGTGGGTACTAATCAATTTTTGAACTTCTAGAATGTAAGAGACCTGGGGTATTAATTGGTGAAAAATACGGTAGCATATTACATGTTTTGTGATATAAATATGATCTGCTAATACATGAATGAGTATCAGTTAAAATGGAACATGTCTCGAATCAAAGCAAAACGCGTTTAGTTTGGACAAAATGAATCCGTATCAGCTTGGACGAGATAAATAATGAATTTTGGTTTAACGTTAAATTTAAAATTTTACGCTTTTTTATATTTTAAAAAGTGTTCACAATATTCTGGGAGGTCACTGAACATACAGTCTGTAACAAAAAAAATTAATGAAAAAAATTATTGTATTATAAATAATATATATAACAAGATAAAAATTAGTTAATTTGAAAGCTAAAAACACACGAATTTATTCTACATGAGTTAAAATAATATACGTTCTTCATTGCGTTCAATAATAAGTTCACAATGTCATTTTATCGAACTTACACAAGATTGATTAGAATGAAATCTTGAATATCTCTCCACTTCTCTATTATAAATCTTTCTAATTCATTAAAATTTTGTGGCATTCATCTTTTTACATTTCCTTTAACAATTCTCCAAAGATTTTCAATAGGATTTAAGTCAGGACTATTTGAGGACCAGTTCATAACTTCTAAAATATTATTCTGAAAAAATTTTTTTGTACAACAACTTGTATGCTTTGAATTATTATCTTGCTGAAGTTACCAATTATTTTCAAACATTTGATTAATTTCTGGAAGTTGTTTTTGAAGAATCTCAACATAAAATTCTGCATTCATAATTTGTTAAAAGCAAAATAAGCTTGTTTTTCCTGTTGCACAAAATTCATTCCATGAGTAAAAATAACATGATTATGTTATCTTTACTTAGTTTAGGTTATGATCAGTCAGGTATAACATGTGAATCACAAAACTCAAGTCATTTAAGTGATGAATAGATTACAAAATTCAAGTCATTTGAATAATGGATGAATCATAAAACTCAAATTACTTGAGTGATGGATAAATTATAAAACTCAAGTCATTCGATAGTAATATGCTATATACATGATATCTGAATATACTAGCAGTATATGCTATTAAATATGCATTGCGTAATAGCTATCAATTAATGCTATCTAATTGCTATCAGATATGTTATATATATATTATCTGATTATATTATATATATGATATCTGAAGCCACATGCGACATAATGATATCAATTTGATAATTGTGACTGATTTTTATTATTAGGTTACATGAACAAAAAAAATATATCTGACGATACATTTAGTCATATATCATCATTTGTAGATCTGATGTGAAAGCTATATCTGAATTTGATACATAATACCTTAGTTTTCTGGTTAATTCCTCAATAAGAATCAGATTTGAGACACATAATACCAAAATAATATTTGTGATCTTTATATGATACATTCAAATATTACTAAAGAATGAGACACATAGTACTAAATTATTATTTATTATATTATCTAAAAATAAGATACATATAGTAATGATCATAAGTATCTGAATGCTCCTAATTTTTTATAGATTATATGTATTATCTTAAAAATTTCTGAAAACAAAGAATAACATAAATGCTGATTATTTACTTCTTTTAAAGTTGGTAGAACTTCTATATCAGATATTTTATATTTATTAAAATTTTATATCACAAATTCCAAAACACATATTTTAATATTATTACTGTTAATAGTCTTTATGGTGTTACGATTGGAAATTTTTATAATTTCCATAATTTTCATAATTTTCATAATTTTTATAATTATCATAATTTTTATAATTCTTATAATCTTTATAAACTCTAAAAACATCATAAACTCTATATTCTTTATAATTTTTATATATAAA